CGTCCTAGTTTGGGACTCTTCAGCAGTACGCACCCACCGGGATTCGAACCCAGGACCTTCCGGTTACAAGGCGAGCTCGTATACCATTAAGCCACTGGGACCCGATCCAATGGTCCTTGAATTCTAACTTCTGCCAATTCACGACATAGCGCGACCGCTAGCCAATGTCTTCGGCGAGTATTTGTCCTCATACCCGACCAGCTGCACCCTACTGGTCACGACTTCCCACTGGAACCCAGGTAACTACCTACCTGAATAGGGCCAGTCGCCAGTGAGCATCTTATTGGTATTCAAGTGTTGGTTTGTAGGGACGGGTGTGAGGACAAATACTCGCCGAAGACATTGGCTAGCGGTCGCGCTATGTCGTGAATTGGCAGAAGTTAGAATTCAAGGACCATTGGATCGGGTCCCAGTGGCTTAATGGTATACGAGCTCGCCTTGTAACAGGAAGGTCCTGGGTTCGAATCCCGGTGGGTGCGTACTGCTGAAGAGTCCCAAACTAGGACGAAACAGCTGTCCAGTACTCCCAGGTTTTCCAATGGTTCTCTAACTAATGTCAGCTCATGATGAAATCCTGAAATCATCGTTTTTCATTTGGGTTTCCCTAGAGAAATGACCTGTCTGGCGCGCGCGTGATGTTACTCAAAGGTCTCCTCGATTTGTGCCCAATCCATCTTCATTTTCAGCACTCCATTATGAATTGACGTTGGTTAGCTAGAGAATCGTTGAAAATCCACCTGGGAGTACTGCTGGACACGGACAGCTGTCTCTGGGTGTCCTAGTTTGAGACTGTTCAGCAGTACGCACCTTTATGGTTATAAGCCGATTTTTTAGACCACTCTGGGTCTTTGGGATTGAGTCCCAACGGTCCTCTAACCGATGTCAGGTCACGATGAGACCCTCATAAACTAATCAAATCCCTACAAACCAACACTTGAACATCTCCATTTTCTTAGGAATATTTGTTTCCAGAGTTTCTTGATGCTAGCTAGTTATTTCTGAATGGTTTTCCGATCTTCTTTCTATGGAGTCAGCGAAATAGGCAGTTGTTGTTGTTGTTGTTGTTGAAAACCTTCAATGGCAGCCTGTTGGAAATTTTTTTTAGTAGTGACGCTCACACCAAGTTTTTGATACATACAGAAGCACTAGCTGCTGAAAATCCGCCGAACCTTGTCCTCTATGCTGGATGTAACAGATTTCCAAAGTGATTTCAGAGTGACGAAGATCTTTCCTTGCCTTCATCAATACTCCTTGATTTTGACATAGTCATCCACAACGACGGATGACTGTCGTTGAAACAATACTGCATAAATATGGAGGAAAATAGTGACATCTTTCAAATTTCTTCCCTGGCTAGTGATTGATGCTTGTTTAGGGAAGTTTAGTCTTAACTGCTTGTTGACAGTGTACGTCAAACCAATTTCAGATAAGGACATTTGAATGCAAACTGAATAATACTGTATATATATATATATATATATATATATATATATATATATATATATATATATATATATATATATATATATATAGTGAATAGAGATTCCTTTTCAATTAGTTCCTCATCATTGGATGGCTCTACATTAATATATATAATCGTTACTACCCTAGTTTCATTAACACTTAATTTTCTTGATCTGTATTACCAGCCTTCACTTGTTTAGTTAAAAGTAACCTTAACCAATTGTAACTTTGTTTGACAAACTTAATGTACACATACATACAAAACAATGCATATATATTTGCGATTGTACAGCTAAGAAAATGAATTCGCCGAAAAGAGACTCTTCGCTGATCTACGTGTTTTGTTTTCATTAATGCCTGGATGGGGATTATCCATGAATCGTTTTTACCAATCAATCAAGTGGTTATTTTAGATAATCAGTTCCAGATATATGTGGACGTGTGAGATGGAGGGTGAAATGAAGAGGTTAAAAGTCATCAAAACATCAATTAACTAACAGATGCTAGTAACAAGATATCTAAGTCTTCCTAAGATTATACAATTCACGGGTGATATCAACAGTAAGTTACTACCACAACGTCTGCGAAGGGCGCCTTCAAAACGACTTTCACTAGCCAACCGATATCTAGTTCAAAAAATGAAGAAAGACTGTCCTGTTTTGCCTATTCCATGTTACCTGTTTAACTGCCCGTACGGAGCTGGTTACATTGGGCATATAGTCAGGCAGGTTCATTGTCGAATTTCTGAACGCCTTCTCCCATCTTGGTTTGGCAAAAGTCCGAATAAAGCCGCTATACACGCAGCTGAATACTAGCTCATCTTACCGATACTGGCTGGACATCAAATCGACTCTAAAAAAGCTTTTAAAGTTATTCATTAATCGTATATCAATCAACCTCTTTCATGCTATACGAGAACGAACAGCCCCTTCATCTTCGCCATGGCCACCTACATAATATTTATTAAATTTTTAAAAAAAAAACGATTTTTCCCCTCCTCTTGTAACCATCTTTTGACTTTGTTAGTTATGACAATTCTAGCTAATTCTGTTATCATGTTTGTATTTTACGCAATTCTCCTGAGTTATCCTATTCTTCTTAGTCGTCATTACTATGAAATAATCTGTTGTTAATGCCCATGAATTAACTGATCATGAATTCCGTAATTAATTAATTAATTAATTAATTAATTTTCACCCCTCCCGCCTTCAGAACTTGCATATCTTGTTACTAACATCTCTCAGTTAATAGATGTTTTGATGACATTTAACCTGTTTTAACTTTTAACCATCTCCACCCTGCTATACCGTAAAACTGATTAACTAAAATGACCACTTGATTGGTAAAACATTTTGATGTGAAAAATGAGTCTATATATTGGTGTAGAGCTAGCCAGCCAGCCAGCCAGCCAGCTAGACGATGATGAGGAACTAATTGAAGTAAAGGAATGCATATTTCTTTGTTTAGTCTGTTGTTTTCTCTGAGTGGGTAGATGGGAATTTGAAATACTACATTGTTGTATCTAAACGGTAAAATAACCGTTTCTACGTTTATGTCTGAGGGTGACATGGGGACAAAATCGTGTATGAGACGAGGAGATGAGAGTTTATTGTTGGTAAACGTGAAGGCAGCTAAAGAGCATCGCATAAAACAGGACAAAGTAAAAATGCCGTATTGAATTGGTATGTTCCACTCTGAACTTTAGGGAATATTAATATCATAATGTACTTTTTTTTAAATTTTTTATTCCTTTACGTTCCCGATGGAACATAGGGTTGCTTCAAGCTAATGACTTGAAGTTGCGTTAGCAGTGATGTTTATTTTTACGGGATGGGGTTGCTAGACGCCTCATGCCCCCAACCTTTCCTCTTTTACCAGTCTTATTACTGACTTAGTGGGGTAAAGGAGTGCGTTGGCGGTCGGGGATCGAACCCTGGACCAAATGCATGGTCGGTGAGAGCATTCTACCGCTGTGCCAACGATGCACACACGTAATTCTATATTTTCTTTAGCCTCATTTCTATGTGCATCCTTATCACAACTAACTCCTTAAACTATTTTATACTATTACGTAACCGTACTATGTTTAGTCAACTTCTTTTATGTGTGTTCATTGGCATCAACAAGTTTATTCATCTTGACAACGCTTTACCGCCACCCTCTTACCAATCGTCGCTTCTACCCCCCCCCTAGTTACAGTTTGACCACTCATCACATTTTCGGAATGTCATTGACGACAATAACCCTAACATATTTTTATTCTTATTTGACAAACCTAATGTACACCTATAGACATACAGAAATAATTATCCCATAATCCTGAGTGTACAGGTAAGTGAATAAATTCGCCATCGAAAAGAGACTGTTCGCTGAACACTACGTGTTTCGTTTTTCATTAATGTCTGAATGGGGATTATTCATGAATTAAAATTAAGATCAGTAGGAATGCGATAAATCGCTTTAAATGCTGTTTCAATATCAATAAAGACGTAATTTGTCTGAATCGTCTAATGTATTTGAGCAACACATTTTCATCAATCTAATTACACACGGACTTGTCATAGGAATATATATGAAAATAATAAAGAGTTCAAAGGTGAGAAAATAGACTTAGACCAAGTTAAAAGGACATATTGAAGATGCGAAATAACAATGAAGATCACTGAACCAAAGAAAGGAGGTAATAGTACATCTACCCTGGCTGGTATAGAAACGAAGTTTACCAAGGACGTTAGGTTTTAGTGTGATGATGAATTGTTGCTTTGAACTCATGAAGGTGGCTTAAACTTCCTAATTACTAGCTAGGGCTAACTTCCATAAACTGTAGGATACGGTCTCCACCAAAAACCTTCTATAGATAGGTTTAAAAGGCGTGTAAACATCAATTTTATGTCCTGTCTCCTCTGTAATATGCTTCACAATACAGGAACCAAGGTCGTCTGTCCTCACCATCAATTAGTGGTTTTTTGAGGATTCTATGTGCTTCTGGAGCTATTTAGGAATGGGCTACTGTGGTGAGAGCAGGATGCTAGCCAAATGGTAGACATTAATTTACGTCAATGTCACTAATATTCGCCGTGAGAAAATATGAACAAGACTGATTCAACAACCAATCACAGCAGACTTAACGTGGGCAAATAAGATTCGCAGATATATGGCTTAACTTTGCGAGAAACCAGAAACAACCAATCAGAAGACTGTGTTTGTCTGCTTGAATAAGCTGTAATAATAATGTACATGAAATATATATAAATACGTGCTGATTTCCGTAATAAAAGGATCTGTTTCCGGCCCTTGTCCTCTGTTGTTACACTATGAAGCCAGCCCTTACTCACAGAAATCCATGAGTCCTCTCTTCTATGTGCGTGTTTCCACACGTACATTCAAATTGGTAAATAATGATAATAGTAATAATAAAAACTGTGAATTCAAACAGAACTTTTGGCAATTTTGCATTCATCAAACAAATACTAGTGTCATCATAGTTATCCTAATCATTATGTTGTCTTGTATACATTTTCCTTCTAAAATTGTAGATGATTCTGAATTAGATTTAAATGGCAATCTAATGGACACCTATTCTAATTCCTCTACAAGTTCTATCACCATCAGTTGCGGTGGTGGTGGTGGTGGCGCTGGCAGTGGTACTACAACATCAACAACAAATCCATATAGTGGATGTCCAACACCTGGATGTAAAGGTTATGGAAATATTAAAGGACCAAGATATGTATCGCACCAACGTCTTTCAGGTTGTCCTTATGCTGATGATAATTTAAAAAAAGATTCTATTAAAGCACATGAACGCTTGAATTCAACCAGTATTATACTAACATCAAATTCATCTATTTCTATGGATTCAGAAAATATTGATTCTGCTAGTGCAACTAATACTATGACAACAATAAAGTCACCGTCAGCTTCTATTAGTACAATATCATTACAGGATCATAATTCAGGTCATCAACGTCTTTCACCTGATTCTACAGTGAAAAGTGAATTATCTTCTTCTACTTCTTCTTGTTCTCCTTCTTCTCCTATAGCGACTAGTGTTACATGTTCTTGTTCAGAGATAAAAGTATCAACTTCTGTATGTTGTACTTCTGTAGCGACAGTACAATTAACTAATTGTAACACTAATAGTAATACTACAACATTATCTGATTGTTGTTTTCCAACTGTGATGAATAATCCTAATTTAACGAGTAGTTCTGTTGTAACTGCACAGACTGCCATTACAACAATACCAACTACTACTATGCCTCCTGTTACTCTTTCATCAAATGAACTCCTTCATCAACGTCAATCTAATGCTGCTTTACCTTTGAATTTAACAATGGATAAACTTCCAGATATATCGGAATTATCGAATGTATTGTCTTCTTCTACAGACACTACTACTACTACTATTACTACTACTGTAGGGTAAGATCAGCGTGTTTTTATTTTTTTTTTCTTTTGGTTTCATTATTTTGTCCATTACACTAGTCAAGTTAAATTTGCCACTAGTTTTTTAATACAGGGAATTGACACAGTCAAACGCCGATATTTGGAATATCGGATCATCATTTTCATCCGTGTGTCACAGGAAAAAAATAGGATCGGTGAAATGTGTAGGGGTGACAAAATAGGGCACAAAAACTACATACGACATGTCATCATTATGGTGAAATAATTATAATGGCATGGCAAGTAATCCACAAAGGGTAACTTATGGAAGCCTTCGAAGTGAGGACGGGAGTGAGGCAAGGCTGCCTGCTATCGCCAATGATCTTCTTGATTGCAGTAGATTGGATAATGCGACAGACAGAAAACGGGCAATGAGGAAACAGGCATAAAATGGACTCACACAAAAAAGTACTTGGAAGATCAGAACTTCGCCGATGATATATGTCTGATTTCTGACAAACTGGGAGATATGCAAGTGAAAAGCAACAAGCTGACAGAAGAAGCATCAAAGATAGGAAGGGCTTCAGGTGAACATAGAGAAAACAGATGCGGTGATGAAGATAACTGTCCAACACCAACAGCAACAATAACAACAGACAACAATCAGCCAGCATAAATGGCAGGAACATGAAAGAAACAACCTCCTTTACCTACCCACCTACCTGGGAAGCATCGTCTAAACTACAGGCCGACGAAACTGACGAGGATATCAAAGCCAGAATCGGAAAAGCAAGACAAGCTTCCATTACCCTGAAGTTTGTGTGGAGGTCAACAGCACTCAGCATGAAACTGAGAATAAGATCCCGATTTTCAACTCCAATGTGAAGTCAGTCAGTGCTACTCACTATACGGATCAGAGACTTGGCCAGTGCGTCACAAAGAGCATCTCAAACAAACTACAGACCTTCGTTAACAGTTGTCTTCTTCACTCAGTACCATTGAAGATCAGATGGCCGGCCGGCCGGCCAGAAGAGATCACCAACAGGGTGGGATATCTGGCAATGAGCGAACCAACACAGCAGGAACCGATTGTGAAACAAATAGGCAGGAAGAAATGGAGATGGATTGGCTGGCCATACTCTGAGAAAGGAAACCATCAAGTGGGTGACATCACTAGACAAGCCATTTCTGGAGTGGAACCAGGCCGAAAGGGAAGCGGGCGACGAGTTGGTCGTTGTCAGTGTGAGTAAGGGTGACTTGGAGTGGAGGAGGTGATGTGAAGGGGAGGAGATGAAAGCATGTGGGCAGACTTGGAGTGGGGTGAAAAAGTTGGCAGAAAACCGAAGGCAATGGAGACGCTCAGCTGAAGCTCTATGTTCCTCTAGGAATTAAAGGATATAATAATAATTATTATTATAATGGCAGTAATACTGGTAAAAAATAATAGTGATGATAACATGTATCCACAGAATGATGACAGCATCACAAATAAATATTAGGGAATTTAAATCACCACTAGTACTTCCATACAAAGAAGGGACGTCGGAAACCCCACAGCGCAGAGAGTTCTAAACATTGCATCAGGAAGGAATAAAAGTGGCTGGCATTCAAAACACCCACAAACTCAATTAGAAATAAACTTTATCGGTTAAAAGATCCTGTCTACGGAGGGGATTAAACAAACCAATTGAGTTTACCTAATATCCTACTGTAATGATTATCAGGTGAAAATAGTAGAACGGATTCATTCAATCAGACTAGTGTAGTAGTACAAAAACCTAGCGAAATCTTGACAAGTTCACCTGAATAAAATAAGAAATCTGGAGAATACTTCAGGTATAGCACTCACCACATGCAATTATACACAACCATACAATATAGAATGATGGAATAGGATAACAGTTTTGAAATCTAATATAACAGGGTGGTGGGTGGATGGGAGAGATTGATAACGGAAGCTTTATTTATCGGATCAACTGAGAGCGGATACGTGTAATGAGAATGATGCTTCAAGTGAACATAGAGAAAACAGATGTGGTGATGAAGATTCGTAAGCAACAGCAACAACAACAGACAACAATGTCCCATTAGCAGAAAATATTTGTTATTTATGCTGTTACATCGACCTAGGATGCATAAGCGTAATCGCTGTAAATGCGCAGCTGAACACTCATAGGCTTGGTTAATGAAAGGTGAGAGATGGACGACAAAGTCTTCAATCTGTGAACATCTTCTGGAGCCAGGCCATTCATTACCACGTAATTTATTCTTCAAAGCTATTTATAGGACCAAATCTAACCACTCCTAAAGCCTATATTTTCCCCACTTATGCATAGCTGAAGCTCTAGATATACATGCACAGAAGCCTAAATCTTGTGTTCAAAATCGTCTTGCTTAACCCCCGTTCTTAACCCTTGGTTTTAGTAATGTTCTTTTATTTTACTCTATTTTACCACTTGAATGAATTCCACTTCACTTCACTTCGCTGTCTTTATTGTTACCATCTTCATACTCTGAATTTCTCAGACAACACAACTTAATCCACAGTCTTAAAATCTTTATACCAGTTCACTTATTTAATAATCGTTAATTTAAGTTTTGTAATTCATCCACTTCAACTCTACCGCGCCCCGCCCCTTGCCCCTTAGTACATCATTTTAATTATCTTTATCCTTATTATATGTGCCATATTGACCACTGAGCACTTTCTACTGCCACCTTTTTAATGCTTTCTTTTTCCGTAATATTAGTACTACTGGTATTCCCGGTGGGTGCGTACTGCTGAAGAGTCCCAAACTAGGACGAAACAGCTGTCCAGTACTCCCAGGGTTTCCAATGGTTCTCTAACTAATGTCGGCTCATGATGAAATCCTGAAACCAATCAAATCCCTACAAACCAACACTTGAAATTGAATTCCCCTTAATATCTCCTCTCTACAAAGTATACTGGAAATCATTTTGGTTCTGGTTCCGCAAGAAGCAACAACAACAACAATCAACTTTGCTTGAAATGTTTTCTATGCTACAAGTCGAACTAAATCCATGATAGTAAATGTAGAGGTTGGACTAGTTTCTCTGGAACATCGCTGATCCTGTTTTTCAAGATGAATATGGTGAGGGCTTCCTCAGTACAAAGAAGTTACAAACACACTGTGTTTGGTAGAGTTTTGTAAATGAATTTGTTAATGACTCTGAATGATGAGTCAGTTGGTGCTCAATAACAAGGCTTCTGATTCAGTTATCCTGGTTAGTATTCTTTGAAACATTTTGGAAGGATGCGCGCTTAGAACGACATGTGTGTCCTTAGCCCTAAAGTAGCATGTGAACTCATATATTGGGCATACTGGAGTGGTCATGTGCAGTAGAAGAAGAAGAAGCAGGTTGCTATATATTATCATTCTTAGTGTTGCTACAGGAAACGTTTTCTTTTGGAGCGAATGAGAGATTATCCTCTTTAGGATATCTACTGCTAAGTCACTCCTGAGGTCCAGATTCATAGACAAACTACTTTCTTTGGTATTGAAGTGCCTTCTTCTCTTTTTGGCTATGGTTTCGTGTTCATTCCAACTGAAGCGTGCCTAGTAAATATCTATCCGTTTTCAGCCAGAATAATTTTGAGAAATAAGAGCCCCTTCGTCTAAGCAGTCAATGCTACAAATTCTTCCTATACAATGGGCTAGTGAAATCATGAAAGCTCTTTCTCGACTCACAGGTATCCAACTATAAAGATATCTGTCAGTTGGCTATTCCATCCATGATGGTTTTCTGTGGATTGATCTTTTCAGAGCTCCAGCATCATCATCATCATTTCTTGTCAATTCTACATCTAGAAATCGGAATCTTTGATTCATTTTTCAATTTTATTTGAAGGATGGCAATTATTAAAACCCAGTGAAAACTAGTCAGGCTTCGGACCTTTTCTAAATTCTGGAAAATAGGCACACTAATCGGCGACTAACACTCTTGCCATATTTTTTCATGTGAAGGTAAGATTCGACTCTGTCGACCAAGAAGAAGTGCTGTGACGATGTCCGACCGTGAAGGGAATACAGCAAAAGTATCTCACACTAATCAAGGTACAATCTTTTTCAATATAACGCAGCCATGTAACAGTTTGTGAAGACTTGTCATGCGAATTGTGTGTCTGTCAGGGGAGAGCCAATTTTGTCTAGTGCTTTTTTTGTTTAATGTCATCACAGGTGTGTGCTAATAGATGATGTAGCCCTAATCGAATTTAGTCACTCACAGATTGATTTGTTTGCCGAGAGACTTTTTTGCGATATGTAGGACGATATAGTCATTCTAAATATGAAGACCCCAAGACAAAATGCAGTATCTCCTGAACACCCAAGAGCAGAAATCTCGGTATGTTCGACATTCGACTTTTCCCTGTTAAATGGAAGTTATGATACTATAGGACTGCAGGTCTGCATCAATTCTTGAAATAAGAATAGGACTTGTACATTGTGATAGAATGTAATTCCATTATGGGTAAACCTTGGGTTAACCGTGAAAAATCTAAAACAGAAAGTAAAATCAAACTTAATAAAATCGGAAAGACTAGATCTTAGTAGTCTAAAACAGGATAAAATCATCGTCACCACAAAAGCTGATAAAGGTCATTCCACAGTAGTTTTGGATAAATCTGACTTTATCAAGAAAGTCACTCAACACACTTAAAACGGGTCCATCCATATGAGGATATTGAGAAGCCTGTAGATACAATAATGAATAAGATTAAGAAATCTACAGCAGATTTAAATACGCAGAATGAAGCCGTCATCGGGTGAGTCTAAACGGTTTAATTTAATGCCCAAAACTAATAAAGCTAGTAAAATGTATGGTACTATTAAAAGCCGGGTTATCCCATACGATGAATAGTAGATTTCAGGAATACGCCTACTTATGAATTATCAAAACACTTAGCTCTAATATTATGCCCCATTAGAAATTGTTCAAACTCTAGACTAGCTAACTAATTCATATGAGATGAAAAATAAACTAAATGACATTCGACTAGAGAATGATGAAACAAT